TTCTTGGCGGCCTGGGGTTCGCTGGTTTGGATCCCGGGTGCAGACATGGCACCGCTTGGCAAAAGCCATGCTGTGGTAGGCGTCCCATGTATAAAATAGAGGAAGATGGGCATGGATGTTAGCTCAGGGCCAGTCTTCCTCAGCAAAAAGAGGGAGATTAGCAGTAGTTAGCTCAGGGCTAATCTTCTTCAACAAAAAAAAAAGAAAAAAGATGTGGCGGGGATAATGGAATGCAGACAAAGACAAATTAACTATATTAAAATCAATCAGATAACCACAGTGAAGGAGACCAGTAGGAGTGGATATGAGTAACTCTGAAAATAGTGTTTGACTAGATATTGTAAGACTAAAGACAAAAAGAACTGTACCCAACTCTGTACTGTAGTAAGTAAATTTGTTGTTCACAGGGGCGCAGGTTAGCAATTCTGGAACTATTTTATTTGTATGCTAGAGTTGGAAGAATAAGTAAACATATGGTAGATAATGAGAGGCAGCTTTCTTTTTGTTGGAGACAGCAGCTACAAATAAGGAAGGGGAAAAGGCTAAAATGACCCCTGTGGTGCCAGACTGGAGTTAGCAGTACCAATGTAGACTCATGGTTTTTTATTAATAAATATATGCAGATAGACACAAAAATAAACATAGATGTGTGTGTATGCATTGGTATATTTACTTTCTAGTTCTTTCCACCTAGAGGGAGTAGAGCAATAAAACCCCAGTAACAATGAACCTATTATCATTCAGATCTTAGTTTCTAAATACCATTCTCCAATAAAAGGGACCAAGCCTCCTTAGAGAAATGGTTGATTCCAAGGCAAGAAAAGTATAAGTTAGCTAAGCCTGGAACATCCTGCAGTGCCAGAAAGCAAGTAAACGCTAAAAAAAAAAAGTGGCACAAGATGTCAGAAGGGCACAGAAGACAATCTGAATAGTTTCCAAAAGCCAAAATTGGAACTGGAACAACAAAATAACAAAAATAACAAAAAAAAAATATGCCAATGACTCCACAGTGATATAAATAAATAGTAACTAAATAAATATATGAGGAGAAGGGTCAACTCTTTCTTATAGAAAAATTCCAATTAATAAATGAAGAAGGAATAAGGCAAATAGAAAATTACCATTAGAACCAGAAAGTAACAATTGCCGAAGGCAAGATTCACCAATGAAGGCTAACATTAGTGGGCAAACATTAACACAGAAACAGGATATTTGCATAGTCTCAAAATATTTAGTATTTACAAAGTGCAAAATAATTCTAAAGTGTAAAACTTTACAGAGGAGAATCCTGGTAGATACCACCTTAATCAAGTGATCAAGGTTAATTATCAAGAATAATACATATCAACATCATGTACCCCCAATAAACACATGAAAAGGGCATTAAGGTCCCAATAAGTTGGCTTTGAGTTAATCAGAAGGGAGATTCTCCTGCGTGGACCTGACCTAATCAAGTGGGACATAAACATGACAAGAAGTAGCTAAAGTCACTTCCCTGTGGACTTTAGGGAAGCAAACTGCCAAGTTGTGGAGAGGGTCACAGGGCAGGCAATGTCAGCAACCCCTGGGATATGGGGGTCTCAGTCTTACAACTACAGGAACATAAATTCTGCCAACAACTTAAATGAGCTTAGAAGAGGGCCCCAAGATCCAGATGAGAATACATTTCAGACAACACCTTGATTTCAGCCTGTGAGCCCAAGCAGATAAGACAGCTATACCACACCTGGATTTCTGATCTACAGAAAGTGTGAGGTAATAAATGGCTCTTGTTTTAAGTCCCAAAATTTGTGACAATTTGTTACACAGCAACAGAAAACTAATAGAACAAATGAACCATCGTCTTTACAAGTGTCTAGGTCATGAAGGATGGAAAAAGTGAGGAACTCTCACAGACTGGGGGAGACTAAGATTGGAGGAGACTAAGGAGACATGGACAACTAAATGCAAGTAATTCAAGTGTATAAAGACCCATGAGTCAATAAAGATACTTTTTTAAAAAGTCAAAAACTAAGGAAAACAACATAGGCAAACACCAATGGAAGTGACTAGGGCACCAATTCTTTACTCTGAAAATTAACTATTTATCTCCCTTTCCAGTAAGTGATCATGGAACAGGTAAAAGACGTTAGTGGAAAAACTGATGAAATCTGAATAAATCCTGTAGTTTAATTAACAATATTGTATCAAGCTAATTTCTTTGTTTTGACCATTGTTCTACGATTATGTAAGATGCTAATATAAAAAGAAGTCAGACGAAGGGTATACAGATTCTCTATAATATTTTTGCAACTCTTCTATATATCTAAGTTTATCTCAAAAAAAGTTAAAAATATGCATATTTCCAAGTTCTGTACACTGAAAAGACCTGGAATCAATGATAACCCAAGAATAAAAAGCACATCTAGGATCCAAATTGTCTCAAATATTATTTCCACTAAATGATAATAGAGTTCCTTGGTACAATGGCTGATTCATGTGTGAAGCAAGAAATTTACAAGATGAGCCTTGTATTAGTCAGGGTTTTCCAGAGAAACAGAACCAGTAGGATAAGGAATTGGCTTAAGCGATCAAGAAGGCAGGCAAGTCCCAAGATCTGAAGGAGACCCAGCAGAGCCAACGGTTTAGTTCCAGTCGAAGTCTGAAGGCCTGAGAACCAGGAGAACTGATGGTGTAGCTCCTTTCAGGGAAGGTTGGCAGGCTTGAGACTCCGGAAGAGGTGATGTTTCAGTTGGAAAGGCAGTCAGGAAGGAGCAGTTTCCTCTTACTCAGCCTTTTTGTTCTATTCAGGCCTTCAACTAATTGGGTGTGGGCCACTCACATTAGGGAGGGCAATCCGACTTAGTCTACCAATTTCAATGCTAATCTCATCCCAAAACACCCAGGATAATGTTTGACCAAATATCCAGCACCTCATGGCCCAGTCAAGTTGACAAATAAAATTAACCATCACTAGCCTGGAACAATTTTTTCAGAAAGCAAGCAAGGAAGCTACCACAGATTAAGAGAGACTTGTCAAATGGTCACAGAAGCAATAAAAGTGCATCCGCTGACCAAAGACGGAACAAGCTGAGCATCAAGAAGAATAATAAATGCAATTAATTCAAGTGTATAAAGACCCATGAGTCAATAAAGATACTTTTTTAAAAAGTCAAAAACTAAGGAAAACAACATAGGCAAACACCAATGGAAGTGACTAGGGCACCAATTCTTTACTCTGAAAATTAACTATTTATCTCCCTTTCCAGTAAGAACTGTATTACAAGGTACCAAATAACCCTAGTTGATGAGGGAAAGTTCTTTTCAGAGGAATTTCAGCTAATTAAATGTGAAAGGAATAATAAAATTAGAAAATCAGTGTTTTGCAACTCCTAATGAAAGAAACAATTCATTGGTGAAACCACAGATGAACGTTTGATGGGGATCTTTCTAATGGAGGAGCCAGGCTGTCTCACTAAGCCTGCTGATGAAAATTAGCACCACTACAAGTGGAACAGCCAGACATCATGTGCCTGCCGATGCGATACAATATGAAGAACAGCATCATCTACGCCAGAAAAGCTGCATCTAAACCTAATCATGCCTGTAGGGTTAACTTCCACTTAGAGGAACTGTATAAAAGGGGAACAAATTAAAAGAATGAATGAGAAAGTAAACAGATAAATTCAGAACATGGGATATCCTATAAAACAACTGGCCTAGTTTCCTTAACAAGTTAAAAACAAGAAGTTAAAACAAATAAAGAATGAGGGAGGGGCTGTTTTAGATTAAGAGGGACCTAACAGACTTAACAACCAAATACACCATATAAACCTCATTTGGATCCTGATTAAAACAAACCAATTGTAAAAGAAGATTTTTGACACAATCACAGAAATTTAATTATGGAATGATATTAAATGATACCTAGAATTTATTAATAATTCTATTATGTGAGACAGTGGCATTACGCTACTACTATGTAAGAAAATAGCCATATTTTGTAGGATGCATACTGAAGTATGCAGGAGAGAGTTGATATGCTAGCCGAGATTCTCTTTAAAATTAAAGAAAATATAAGAATAAAACCCATAGGGAAAAAGTTCTAATTCCTAGGATCTTCTTGCTCAGGCTTAAAAAATCATGTCTAAACTTCTGGAATTTGGAACTCAGAGGGATGGATACAACTTTTAAAACTTGCTTTGACATTCCCCACAACATCCTACAAAATGTTGAACACAGAGGAGGCACTCAAAAAATACTGAAATATCAGAACACCTTTTTCACATTTATGAGAACTCATTTCCTGTCGGTTCCCCTTTTTCTACCACCCTCATCCCTTAAAATATTTAGTAATTTCCATTGAAAAATTATCTACATATTTTAGGAGTTATATACACATATAGTGTGCCAGAATTCTTCAGAGCAGTATTTCAAAAATCAAAAACATTAATAAATTCATGCCTAATAACATGTGTTCATTTTCTACCACTTAATAATACACATGTTTAATCTCAGTAAATTCAAAAAAGATATACTTAAATTTTTGTCGTTAGAATTTTATGGACAGCAACAGAATTGTACCTACATGAACAAAATGTGGAAGTTAGTAACTATGGATTTCATACTTGTAAAAAAAAAAAAAAAAAAAAAAAACCTGAGTGCTTACTCTGTTCCAGGCACTATTCCAAGGGCTTTGCATGCATGAACTCATTAATTATTAAAACAATCCTATGAAGTGGGTACTACTATTATTCCCATTTTATAGATGAGGCACAAAAAATAAAAGCAACTTAACCAAGGTTCCACGGCTAACGTATAGCAGTCCTAGGATTCGAAAACATACAGTCTAGCTCCAAAAACCCAGCTCTTGACCACTACACTGGACTGACCGACGTTGAGGCATCCTTTGCCTGATGCTGTCGTCTGTCTACTCAATTCTAGTATTAGCAGTTGGTCTTCATTGTCTCCAAGGAGACAATGAAGAAAGAAATGATGTAAGAATGAACAGTAAAACTTACTTTTTGAATGGCCTCTTCCATATCCAACTCAAATTGTTCATTCTGTAGTAATCTGAGGAATCTCTGGCGCTCGACACGGTCAGCAATTTGATTCTGCACCATTCGGTCCCTGATTTGATTCTCTATCTTTTTTAGTGCCTCAACATGTAATTTTTTGCAGTAGTTTATATCTACTAATTTCTGATGCCCTTCACTGCAGCTCAAAGTTCTCCTTTTGGAAGCCTATAATGCAAAAAAAAAGAGGCATACTTCGGTATTCCAAAATCTAATTTTTAAAAATATATCGATGTAAGCCCCAGTAACAAATGATACAAAAAGAGTTAACAGTGATAAACGAAGGGCCTTTGGCTTCCTTCGTAAATTCAGAGAAATATACCATAATAAAAGAGTAAACGTGGTAGATTAATATATTGATCTATCAGTGAAGTAGCTACTATTACTATTCCCCATCCTACAGATGGGGTATGAAAAGTAAAAGCAACTTTACCCAAGGTTCCACAGCTAATCAACAGCAGCACTCGGATGCAAAGACAGGCGCTCGAGCCCCGTAGACGCAGCTCTTGACCACTCCGCAGGGAATTCCTCTCCGCATTCCTCCCCCAACCCCTTCCCCATAAGCGCTGTTCAGAAGCGGGTCAGGTTTTCCTCCTATATAACCCGCTGCTACTTATTCATAAATTCACTCTCTCCTGGACTTTTATTTCCCCTAATTTGTCCAACGGTTCTTAATCTTTCCGCAAATTTCCAGAAATACGGGAAACAAGATTTTTACCGGGCAGATGTAATACAGTGTAGGGAAAATGCAAAAAACCTGGAAGCCAGCGCAAGCGTTGCTTAAACAACAGCACCTGCAGCCCCGGAAAGCAAATACGAGTTTCCCACTTAAGTCTCAGGTTAGGTACTTGAAACCGTTTTCTAGAAGGAGGCTGGCTCTAAACTACACTTATATCAATAGATAAACACGTAGTTTCCAGACCCCCGACCGGCTCACCATCTTGGCAGAAGAACAGCCTCGCTCCGGCTCCCGCGGCCACCACCTCCCGCCGCAACTGCAGCGGCGGGCTGAGCTCCCTAGTGTTTGCGCGGTTTCCGGGCAACGGCCGCCGCGGCGCCTCCTGCCGTGCAGGGCCCACCCGCACAGGGCGCGGCCGCCCATTGGACGCAGCAAGACCCAATCGGCATTGAGCTTCTTGAGACGCTGGCAGGGCGGCTACTCCTATAGGCCTACAGCTGACTGGCGGGAAGTTCAGATCTTGTGTCCTGACGCCAGCGCTTTGCGGTCCGTCAGGGAGCTCCAGATTTCCCTCAAGCGGCTAATTCTGTGGTTTCATGGGGTTGGGAGCCAAGCTGAGGTCTGTAGAAACTGTTTACAGAGAAATACGCCAACTCCTGTCTAGAACATGGGGCCAAAGGCACTTTCCACTCACAGAACATCGTGCGCCCTCAACGCCTGTTCTGTCAGGGTTGATGACGGCTTTCATCCTCAGCAGTGGGAGGCACGGTCACCGTCCCCATCGCTGGGGGACTGGGAGGCTCTGTGGGTAGCTCGGGCTTCCAGAAACCTTTGCCTCACCTCCCACAGAAGCTGTTGGTGAACTTTGGGAATAAAATGTGTGGGCCACGTGGATCTTATTCTGCTATGTAATACGTGGCCCAGGTACAAATGAGAGAGCACTTAGATGATGGCAGGATGTGGTCTGCTTTAGTTTATCAGCACATTAGACACTAAAGTCCATTTATGAGGAAGAATTTAAGAACAGGAATGGGTCAGAGAAATTAGTCAAATATGTTGATTTTAAAGATCACATATTTTGGGGCCGGCTCCGTGGCCGAATGGTTAAGTTCGAGTGCTCCGCTGCGGCGGCCCCGGGTTCGGATCCTGGGTGCGGACATGGCACTGCTCGTCAGGCCACGTTGATAAAGCAGAGAAAAAAAAAAGATTGGCAACAGTTGTTAGCCCAGGTGCCAATCCTTAAAAAAAAAATTTTTTTTAAAAGGAAGATTGGCAACAGTTGTTAGCCCAGGTGCCAATCTTTAAAATATATATATATATATATTTAGAAAAAATCTCATCAAAAATTTTAAAAAATTTAAGGTAGTGTGAGGACTTGGCTTAGTTTGTGTTATCTAATTTGAAGTCCATCTTGTGTAGCAATATTTCTGCTTAAAGATTAATAAAGAATAGAACTTCCAGTTTCAGCTCCAAAATATAAAAAGCTTGGAAGTTATCACTTTCATCCTTACTACCAGAAAAAGCTGAACAAACTGAAAATTAATGACTTTTCTTGGACTTGTCCTAGAACCGAGGTCACAGGGCAACTCACCACCCTGAAATCTGGAGATCGAGGTAAATCCAGGGAGCCATGGCCAAGACCTACTTACCTGGGGCAGAAGCCACTGAAGCCATAAACTAGGAACACTTACATGGTAATTTTGATGAATTGCTGGAGACTGAGCGTGGAATAGCATGAGTGAAACTACTGGAGGCTGCAGATTTAGAGCATCCCTGACACTTCTGTGGGTTTTTCCTCCAGGAAGCCCAGCAGGTTCTCACAAAGAAGAACCAAGAAAGATCTCCTGTGGCTCTGGCAGAGGGATGAGAAGAATAATCATTGTGCAATATGCCCAGAACCTTCTCAATAATAAAGGCCTACTTTCCAAAGGAAAAGATTTTACCAGATCCTTATCCCACCAGGGGCAAGGACATTCCTCTGACTACAGTCTCGTCCACCCTTCCTGTCTCTCCTAAGCGCAGAAAGGGGAGCTAAGAAACACTTGTATAGGTCACAGCCCAGGGACACAGCCCTACTAAAAGAGATTTAATCATAAAATTGTAGAACGCTTTCCCTTTCCAACACTTTACCACCATGTCAACAGCACTCTGGTATAATAACAGATGATTACAGATGGAAGTGCTGCAAAACACTCTGTCTAACAAGGAACTTTTAGGGAAATCCAAAGACAACAGGAGATCAAAAAAACGCTAGAGGAATTTGAAGCTCCGGAACCTACAGCTACAGCAAACATTAAATACAACCCAAGTCCCGGCCACATAATAAAAAACCTCACACTAAAGCTCTATTTACCTCAGTTCCTGTTACCCAATATATCACATCTAGTTTTCAACAAAAAACTACAAGGCTAAAGGCAAGTTGATAAAAGGCAAGTAAAAACAGCATCAGAATTGGACTCAGCTATGACACAGATTTGGGGATTATTAAACAGGAATTGAAGATAACTATGATTAATATACTAAGGGATCTGATGGAAAATGTGGACAACATACAGGAACAGATGGGTTACGTGAGCAGAGAAATGGAGACTCTAAGAAAGAATCCAAAGGAAATTCTAGAAATCAAAGACACTAACAAATGAAGAATGCCTTTGATAGGCTCATCAGTAGACTGGACACCACTGAGGAGAGAACCAGTGAGCCTGAAGATGTGTCAATAGAAACTTCCCAAACTGAAATGCAAAGAGGTTAACAGCAAATAGATAACCCTACCGGGATTTTCAGACCTCACCTTAGACTCAAATTGTTCTCCTACATTAGAAGAGGACTTGTGGGTGGTGGGGGGTGGCAGGTGGTATTGTCAATGTTTTCAGTTTTTGGGGGGTCTTATTATAAACCCAATTACCACAAAAGTAAAACTGACTACAGGGTGTGTACACTGCAAGAATATTTTGAAAGCAGGATGCAACCGTTATGTTCATTTAATCCCATTAGTCTAGCAACTTCCACAAGAACTTTTTACAAAAAAACATGGCTTATGTATAGCTTCTCATAAAGTAGCCTCTAATTAAACCTTGTTGGCTGGGCCGTCACCAGAAATTTTTGTTTTGAACACGGATGCATCCCAAGCATTTAGAATAGTGCCTGGCATACAATAGGTGATAAAGATTTGTGAAATGAACAAATGATTGAAACTATATTACTGTTATGAACATAGGAGAAAGCTCTACTCAGAAATAACTTGGAAGAAATATGGTTCTTCATCAGAGTTTTATCTATTTATATTTTCAAAAAGCCAACTTATGGCTTTGTTAATTTTTTTCTTTTGTTTCTCTATTTCCAAGTCCATTTTTTCCTTCTCTTACCATCATTATTTCCTTCTCTGCTTGCTGTGGGTTTAATTTGCTCTTCTTTTTATAGTTTCATAAGGTGGAAGCTTAAATCTTTATTGAAGACCATTCTTTTCAAATATAAATGTATACAATGTATAAATATATACAAATTTTCCTCTATGCTCTTGCTTTAGCTGCCCCTCAGATTTTAATATGTTGTGCTTTTTCATTCACTCAATTAAAAATATTTAAAGACTTCTTTGATCCATGAATTATTTAGAAATGTTTTGTTAGCTTTCCAAATATTTCAGATTGTCCAGTATTCTTTTTGTTATTGATTTCTAGTTTAATTCTGTTATAATCAGAGAATATACTCTGTATGACTTCAAATCTTTTAAATTCCTTGAGGTTTGTTTTATTCTACAGAATATAGTCTGTCCTGGTGAATGTTTCATGTGCACTTGAAAAGAATATGTATTCCAGTGTTTGGAGTGAGGTGTTCTATAAACATCAATAAGGTCAAGCTGGTTGAGAAGGCTGTTCGGGTATTCTATATCCTTACAGTATCTCTATCTACTTGCTTTATCAATTGCTGAAAGGAGTGTTGAGGTCATCAAGTATAATTGTGGATTTGCTTATTTCTCTTTTCAGTTCTTATTTTGCTGCATGTGTTTAAAGTTCTTTTGTTAGGTGTATACACCTTTAGGCTTATTATGTCCTGACAATACATTAACATTTTGAAATGACCTTCTTTTTCCCTGGTAATATTCTTTGTTCTGAAGTCTATTTGATACTAATGTAGCCACTCTAGCTTTCTTTTAACTAATGTTTACATGATATATCTTTCTCCATGCTTTTAATTTATCTGTGTCTTTATATTTAAAATGGCTTTCCTGTAGATAGCATAGAGTTGGGTGTTGCTTTTTAATTCAATCTGGCAATCTCCACCTTTAATTGGTGTGTTTATGCCATTTACATTTACGTATCATTACTGATATGTGTGGATTAAAATCAACAATTTTGCTAATTTTTAAATATTTATTGCATCTGTTCTTTACTCCTTTTCTTTTTCTGTCTTCTTTTTGATTATTTTTTATTCCATTTTATTTTCACTATCAGCTTATAATTTATGTCGTTTTTAGTGATTGTCCTAAGATTTATAATATATATATTTAAATATTCAAATACTATAATTCTGCCTCATTTATTGTGTGTAAACCTTACAACAGTATAATTACAATCCTCCATCCCATCTTTTGTGCTACTGTTATCATACATTTTACTTTTACATATATAAATCCACAACACATAGGTTTCCACATATGTTAGATTGTTTGATATTGTCTCAAAGCTCTCGAAGGCTCTGGTTTTTTTTCTTCTCCAATCTTTTTCTCTTTGTGTTTCAGTTTAAGTAGTTTTTAGGGATATATCTTCAAATTCACTGGCTCTTTGCCTCAGCTGTGTCAAGTCTTTTGATGAGCCTGTCAAAGGCATTCTTCATGTTCACTACTGTTGATTTTTACCTAACATTTCCATTTAACTTTTTTTATAGTTTCCATCTTCTCAGCTAAAATTACCCATCTTTTCACATATCTTGTCTACCTTTTCCATTAGAGTCTTTAATATATTAATCATAGTATTTAAAATTTTCTGTCTGATAGTTTCACCATCTGGGTCATACATGAGTTTTGTTCTGTTCATTTCTTCATCTTTATACAGGTTATACAATGTTTTTTCTTGTTTTTTTTACAGGTCTCATAATTTCTGATTGAATGCCAGGCATCATGTGTAAGACTGAGGTAAATCATATGTATGCCTGGAAATAAGCACACCTATTCTTCTGCTAGAACATTAATGTAAGAGGTTGAGTCTATATTGTCAGGAGTTGAGCTGCATTTGAACTTTGTGTCACTATGGTTATCTTCGGTTCACCACTATCTTCAAATTTCTCCAGTGTTATCTTTGATTACGTTGGGAGCAGGTTTTCCAGAAGGCTTCTCTCAATGTTCCTGTCCCACCCCTAGCTTTAGGCCCTCCCTGTGTTCCTGCGTGTCAGAGAGTGTCTCTCTCCACACTCTGGCTCCTCCCCCTAGCAGTAGATCCCTGTTCTTTGTTGCTCATGCTTGCTGGCCAGGTGGTGGGAGGAGGGGAATTTTCAGTTATCCTGGTCCAGTCTCAGCATTTTAGGCAGATCCTGGCACACCTGGTCTCTGGTATAGGGGTCTCATAGACCAGAAACTTTCCTTAATGGTAAGTATTCACTGTTTTCTTATCTCCTTTAAAGAAAGTCCAAAACCCTTAACCTGGCCTGTAGAGGTTTATGTGTCTACCCCTTCAGGTTTCTTCCTCAAACTTTAGCCAAAATGGACTTCTTTGAGCTCCTTCCTGTCAGAGGGCCTTTGTATGTGTGGGTCTCTGCCCTTAGTAAGAGTGTACAATGACTGAAATTTCACCAGCCATCGTGTGGGTGAAATAATACATGCTCTGGATAGCAGAGCAGAAAAATAGAAGGAGCCTTGGTTCTTTATGACTACAGAGCTACAACACCAGCTCTGGGCTGCCTAACTCATGACCTCATGCTATATGAAAGAAAAATAAATTTATCTAAGCCTCTGTGTCCTCTTCTTCACCCAGGACTCTATTACTGTTAGCCAACTGCAATCCTAACTGACACAACCACTATCTCTGTTCAATCTCAGGGATGAAAGTGATTAAGAAAAACAAAACTTTTTGCAGGATTAATTGCCTTTTAAAATCAATGTTTAATATTACAGATTATTAGTAGGTATAGCAGAAAACCTTTGATTTCCTTTCTCACATTTTCCTCTCTCTTCTGTATATTTTGGAAGCTACTAGCTGGTTCCCTTCCCTAATCCCTGTGCTCTTGGAGTCTTGATCACAACTTTTGTTTCTTGATTTTATTTTCCAAAATATCCATGCAACATTTGTCTAGTGATTTGATAACTCCCAGAGTCATGTCATTTACAAATTGGATAAGCATGTCTTTTATATTTTCAAATACTTATAGATGAAAATGTAGAATAAGACTGAGAGAACACAGAGCCCTGACATACATCACTAGAATGTCTATCCAAGTGGAGCCAGATCAGCAACCTCTGAGTCTGATCATTCAACTAGTTACCAATGCACCAACTTTGCTAACATACTACCAATATTTCTATGCCTTTCTATAAGCATTGACTGGGAGAATTCTCCAAAAAGGCTTCTCTAAGATCTAGATACATTGTGATTTCTTCATTTCCTTATCTGCCTAACACAAGTCAATTGATTGCTTGGCAACCAAATGACAAATATTTTGGTTGCTTAGATAGATTCAGGTCAACGTTATTTATCTGAGATGCTCACAGATCAATAAATGTAAATGTCTTTAAAACATGAATGGAGTAAAAGTCTTATCATTGAATGTTTAGTTACTTGATAAAGGTAAACTCTATCGTGTACAACAAACTTCTAAATCATGCTAATATATTAGTTTTTGCAAGGAAATCTTTGTAATCTAGAGATTACCTCTCATTAATCAAATACGCAAAGTATTTCACTTATCAGTATATAGATTATCCATTTAGTCAGGCAGTTAAATATATCACTATCATTTGCTTCTTAAAACAGGCAAGTCGGGGGCCGGGCCAGTGGCGCAGTGGTTAAGTCCGCATGTTCTGCTTCTCAGCAGCCCGGGGTTAGCTAGTTTGGATCCTGGGTGCAGACATGGCACCACTTGGCAAAAGCCATGTTGTGGTAGGCATCCCACATTTAAAGTAGAGGACAATGGGCATGGATGTTAGCTCAGGGCCAGTCCTCCTCAGCAAAAAGAGGGAGATTGGCAGTAGTTAGCTCAGGACTAATCTTCCTCAAAAAAAAAAAAACAAAACGCAAGTAATATTTGAGAACACCACACACAATAAGCAATAGTTTGAATGCATTAGTAATTGTCTAAGTTTACCAAAAATGTGCCTAGCACAGAGCCCTGAACATAGTATAGCTTAATAAACACACACTGAAGGATTGACAATATATTCAGAATGCAATAATTTTAGTTTTAGGATGATCGAAAGGATAGTTTAGATGGGTATTGTGTAGGAGAAAGGAAAAGCATTGCATTTAGTCAGCAGAAATAAACTAAGGGGAAACCATGTAAGTCATCAGAAATTATGAGACAAGAGAGACAAAAGAAGAATTTTGTGAAATGACTGGTATGGTTTTAATCACAAAAGTGAGGGGAGCTGAAAAACCAAAACGACTCTGACCAAGGAGAATTCAAGTTCTTGGTCAAAAGGTATTCACCTTGCACTCTGAGTTGTCCTTGGCAAAGAGACCCCCACCTTACAGTAATGGCATTATAATAAGAACAATATGTACTAATGAAGAAAACAGTGATTAAAGGTAGGGTCATACATAATCCAGTTAAATATGCAACATTCATGTTGAAGGGAATTCTGGTGAGGAGTGTGAGAAAGGTAGATAGGTGGCAAAGACTGAGACCCTGAGGAAAAGAATATGACGCACAAACAAAAAGCTTAACTTGAGCCTTGAAAGAGTTTTTGGGAGCTGCAAACCATTTGCTCTCCTCTCTGTCCTTGGGTCGCTGATCACACAGTTGCATATCAACATCACCTCTACTGCTTTACTCATTGGCAATACTGTCCGAGAGGAACAGAGAGAAGGCACGCGCTTGCCCTCTTGGTATTCTGTGTAAACTGGCCTGAGATGAAGCAAAGCAGTCAGCTTGATGCAGATTTCTCAGTATAACCACCTGCCCAAAGGGCTAGGCTGCCTGTGGGGCGGGTAGGAGATGGGGACGGGGTCAGGGGAAAATACCGTATAACAGGTGCAACAGAGTAGAACTTGTTAATTCCTAACAGCGAAATGTGATGCAACATTGCAAAGAATTTTAGCAAACGTATGCTTTTCATTATTTTTTGCTTCTCTGAGGATTTTTGGTTCTAATGGGAATTTTACTTATAGCTCCTTGTTTCCCGTGTATCCATGGGTATTGCAGATTCTACAATAATTTATGTAATTTAATAGGTGGTCCGCCAGAGAAAAGGATTTTTGGCCTGAATGTTCATCTAAACCAAAGACAAATTTAATCAATTGCAACAATTAGTTGACTTTACTTGAAAAAAAATTAGCCTAAATTTTTTTTTTAATTAACAGACTTTGCTTTTTTAGTGCAGTTTTAGGTTTACAGAAAAATTGATAAAATAGAGAGTTCCCAAATGTCCCTTTTCCCCTGCACA